TGAAGTACTGCAGTCGGGAGGCTCATAATATATTCAGCTTTACGACCGCGTACATCTGGGCCCTCACTGTACAACTTTGAGCTTAATCAGTCATGCGCTACAACATTTTCTTAGTCGTCGTACCCGCGAGACTGCTTCATGACGGAAGACTCTATAATTCGAATGGTGTCCGCTTGGCTCTTATCTGGGGAATATTGCGTTTTACCTTGAAACTGAACTTGTTCTCATAAATGGTTTGCAAATTACGTTATTGCAACACGCTGGTTGTTATTGCCATGTTTAATACTGAGAAAACCAAATTTGGTGGTGGGAAAAGTATGCTGCAGAAGGTACGCGATCAGCAGCAAGGCCACAAAAATGGTCCCTGATTGTGAAGTCACAGTCACAAGGCGGTATTAATTTCAGCCCTTACGTGGGGAGGCCCGTTGGGTGGCGGATAGCAAGGAAGGCGGCGGCTTTGTTAGGAAGCCCCAAGGCTCTCAAGGAGAGGAGTCCTGTCAAGGGCGATTCGAAAAGCCTGCTTCAGGAAAGGGGAGATGGTATGCGCACATCAGTGGGACACCGGAAAGCAAAGGGGTATATGAGAGCAGGAGTGTGGGTTTCGGGGAGGTGTCCGGGGAAGGTGGGAGGAAGCCACGCAGAAACAGGAAAAGAAGCTACCTAACATAGCTTTCATAAACATGCAGAGGGTCAGGAACAGTATGAAGTGAGAGGAGATCGAGGAGCAATTAGAAAACGAAAACTTTGCTGTGTATGAATTGGCAGAAAAACATGTGAGGCATATGGAGGAACCACCATACATACCGGGACATTATTGGGTGGGATACAACTGGGCCAATGGGGAACGCTAGGGGATGTTAGTGAAGGGTCAGGAATGGGAAAGGGAACGAGAGGGCTGCAGGGAACACATGTGGGTCAAAAGCAATATTTGGGGTTTAGACGAAATCCTGGGTTTTGTCTAGGTAAAAAGAGGGAGTGATGCAGGGGAGGGAAACGCAGAACACTTAACATGTATATCAGGAGACGCTAGGGAAATCGGCACTAACAAGAAAATAATTATCTTGGAGAACATGAATGCGCATTTGGAAGACTTTGATGGACGTACAGATACAACAGGGTGTATGTTAGAGGAGTTCTGCCAAGTTCTTTATCTGGTATTGGTTAACACTCAGGTAAATTGTGGTGGAAAAATAACATAGGAAAGAAAGAACTCACTATCGGCTATTGACTACTGTTTAATGTCGCGGAAGCTATACAACAGATTAGGAGGTACGGAATAGATGAGGAAGGCTCAAAAAGTCAGGAGAGCGACCATAAGAGAATCAAGATCATATTTGGCACAGTAAAACCAGAAATGCAAAACAAAAATAGGGCGGTAGAAATAACTTAAATGATAAACAATAACAGAAGGTATCTAAGTGAATCGAGAACTTAGCATTCAAGCAACCGGAAAGAGAATGAAGATATGAGGACTTAGTGCTTTCAAAAGAGAATTAGAGAAATATCGAATCAAACAAGGAGGAAGAAAACTAAAATGCAAGACCAAAAGCTGGTTGGATAAAGAGGTTAAGGCAGCAATATCCAGTCGCCAAGCGGCATCTAGAGAGCACAGCTGGGCAAAGAAGTAGGGGGCCACACAAGCCGAAGCAGCATCAAAATGGGAGAACTTTCAGGAAAGAAAGCGGGAGGCATCAGCATTAATACAGGTCAGAATTGGGAGGGCAAGGGTTCAGTGGATGATAGAGATACACCAGAAGGATAGGAATGCGGCAAAAAAGGTTTTGGGAACACATCAGTGCACAGGGAAAAAAGACCGAGGGGTACCAGCTGACACTAACCACACAGGAAGGGACAAAGGCAGAGGGGAAAGAAGCTAGAAAATACATCAGACATACCATCGAAGCAGCATTTTCAGAGTTAGAACCAGATCAGGCCGTAGGGAATGGTAGCGTCTACACAACACATGAGGAGGACCATAGTGAAGTAGAGGAAATGACCTGAAGGGAATCGGAAAACGCGGAAGGAAAGGGTTCGGTTGGAACTGCGACAGGTTCAGACGGCATACTGATGAGACTGATAAAATTTCTAGGCAAAACAAGCAAATTGAAGCTAAGGTAGGTGACTGACAAGATACTTATGGGAGGGAGGTACCCGGTGACTGGAAATTGAGCAGGATGAGATCATTATATAAGGGCAAGGAAGACAAAGACATTATCAAATTATACCGACCAATCACAGTAACTTCTATAATATACAGACTGGTTATGCAAATTGTAAAAAGAAGAATGAAAGAAGAGGCAGAGAGGAAGCAGAATCTTAGGGAGCTTCAAAACGATTGCTGGAGGAATAGACGACTAGATAATAGCTTATTCATAATCACTCAGTGCGTAGAGATAGCAATGGCAAGTCAAAGGCCATTATGGGTAGCATTTTTGTACATCAAAGGGACATATGACAGTGTGATTCAGGAAAACCCCTGGGACCACCTGAAGGGATATGGGCTAGGGGGAACCATGGTTAAGTTTCTAGAACGGGTTTATATGGAGAATAAGGTGGTTATAACATGGGAAGTCGAAACTACAAAACCAGTGGCAATACAAAGAGGACTTAGACAGGGCTGCCCATTGGCTCCCCTGATCTTTCTAATATACCTCAGTGAGATAGGAAAAAGATTAGAGCAGTGCAACCTAGATTTTGATCTGACCTACATGGAGGAAGGACATAAGGTGAATCAAGCATTGCCAGGGTTAATGTATGCATACGGCATTGTACTCGTAGCAGAAAGTCGTGAGACAATACAAGAACTGATTAGGATTTTCAGCAGGGAAGTGCTTGTCCCTACTGAAGTTTACGACTATACTTCAGTAGGAACAAGTCGAGTATAATAGTTTTCAACGACGAGAAGGGGGACACCCCTGGAGATACTGGACACAGTGATAGAACACGTAGAAACGTACAAATATCTGGGAGTATGTTTAAGTGAGGGAAGTGAATATCTAAAAGAACAGGACGATATTGTCCTAAAGAAGGGAAACGAGATTCAGCTATTATGAAACACAGGGCACTCTGGAGCTATAATAGATATGAAGTCGTTAGGGGTGTATGGAAGGGAGTCATGGCGCCAGAACTGCCATTTGGGAATGCGGTATTCTATATGAGGTCAGAAATGCAGGCAGGTTTAGAGATACAGCAAAGGAGTATGGGTAGGTTGGCGTTGGGGGCAGATGGGGATGCACCAAATGAGGGAGTACAGGGGGATATGGGTTGGGCATCTTTCAAGAGTAGAGAAGCGATCAGTAAAGTAAAATTTGAACAAAGACTAGCTGAAATCGAGGAAACACGCTGGGCAGCGAAAGTGTACAAGTATTTATATATGAAAAGTCTAAAGACTAAGTACAAACCGAACCCGCAAGCTGAGATCTAAATACATTCAACGAGATAGGGCCGATCAGAGCATATATCAGTAGAAAAGGGAGTAAAGGAAACTGAGAGGAAATTGTGGGTAGAGAGGATGCAGGGGAAATCAGCATTAACAATATACAGGGCACAAAAACAAGAACTAAAGAAGGAACAACTGTATGATAATTCAGTGGGGAGCTCATTGCTGTTTGAAACTAAAACGGGGGTGCTAAGAACGAAAACATATAGCGTTAAATTCCAGGAAATACACACTCTATGCGACATATGCAAACGCGAAATGGAAACTATAGAACATGTTATTTTAGGTTGCACGGGGCGTCGTCCCACCCTTTTGGGGGCGATGACTACGGACTTGGAGGAAGCACTTGGGGATTCGCAGATATTGATGAACGAATGAATAGGGAAAGAATTGCGGTTACTAAAAGGAGATTGGAAGATTGGTGGAAAAGATCTAGGGAGGGTAGGAAATACTGATAAAAATAAGCAATGGAAACGCCTTAAAGGGGGGGGGGGGGAGGGTCGTGCTAGAACAAAGTTTATACACATTAAAAAAAAGGAAAGGATGACAAAATATTAGGCTAGGTGGCGCAAGCTCACGCCCGTTACAAAGGGTATAACATATATCATCCATCCATCCATCCAAAAATGTACCGAGTCGACGGCACGTCAGTTGCGCGCTGGCGTGATGTTATCCGAAAAAGGTCTATATACAGCCAATTTCCATCATAGCCACGCGTTGGGAAAGGCAATGCATAAGGCATGGGCGGAGCTTCACAACTTGTAATTATAGTTCGTTTACTCCCATCTTTGGTTGAACACGACCCGCTACTCGAATGTTTGACGATGTAATGATTGTCATGCGCCAAAGTCGAGTGCACGGGTGCACATTAGAGCACGTCTTGATATCTGTGTACACACGATGCGATGTTGGGGTGATCTATCAAGGAGTCAACAACGCTATTGGATCTTGTGGGGTGTAAAGTGATGTCATGGCGTAACGCTATGCGACAACTTGACGCCGTGACGTCACGTAACCACATCACCTAATGTCCCGTCACACGTGACATTACGTAATAAATCATAATGCTAATACAAACCCGCCATGAAATCCCACTATTTTTTAATCGTTTCAATTCTGGATATGAAAGTTTTCCGATAGATATAAAAATACCGCTGCCAATTTTTCAGTAATCTCAAATATTCAGTCCATGAAATTAAATAGAAAGACTGAACCGGTTACAGTTAAATTATTTCCCGGTTCAGCACCGGTTCAGTTCTAATATGGCGATGACGATTTCTTTTGGGGTTGGTTCCGGTTCGTCTACAAATAACGGTTGGGTTCCGGTTTTCGGTTCGGTTCGGTTTCGCTTCGACACTCTGCCTTAGACTATGTACTTCAGTTAACCTGACTGCAGCCGACGCTACGAGCCAAAGGGGCAATCAAGCAGCATTTCCAAATCAGCAAAACAGCGCGGTGACTGATTTTTTACTGCGCGTTTATGTTTATTTTGACTTGTGGTGAAACAAAGCGTGAAGCGTTTTTTTCCGTTTTTTTAATTGTTTTCTTTGCTCTTTTGCAGGCGGTGAACCGAGGCAAAAAAATCACATGTGACCTGGGTGGTTTGGGATCCATCCCCACGCAGCAGATGGACAAAGACATCAGGGTACTTCAGGTCACGGCGCCCCCCGAGCATCCGAACGAGCTGACCATCGGAAGAATCTTCCTTCAATTCACCAACCTCGAAGAGGTCAGTCCAGTCGTCGGTAGCAGGGCAAGTTTGTGCAGGGCAAGTTTGTGCGATGTTAAGGGAGTATGGCTTTAAACGTCATCACGATGGACCCACAGAGCGCCGTCTAACGTGCGTCTGCACTGCCGTCAGCGCGTGTCACAATAAACGCGACGCAAGCACGCGACAACGCCAAGACATACACGCCTGCCGCTTTGCGGTGACTTTCGGCGAGCTTCTCCATGTCTGCTAATTGGGGTGGGTAGGTATATCCACTTACAATGACGTCATTCGCAAACCTAGTCTCGCGGTATTGCCACCAGTCGCCTAATATGGCGCCAGTTGCGCATCGTTTCAGGTGGAAGTCAATTTATTTTTGCGTTAATCGCCTCCGCCTAGGGGACTTGTCCTAAGCCATATATTCTAATCATAGGAGGTGCGTACCATATAGATTTACATATTATGTATTTTTTTTTCTAGTAAAGACCGGTCACTTACAATCTGTACATATGTAGACCTTCTCGGCCGAATGCCACCTCACCACCTGTGTGGGAGCCTCTCGATGTCCTGCTGGAACTGCTCTTTTGGAGTGCCTCACACGCACGCCTGGGCAGCTACTTGGAAAAGGCGTTCTTCAGGGTTTTTTTTTTATTGCAACTCAACAGGGGATAACCGCTGGGGGCCCAGTCGGGCCATACCTATGCGCGACCAAACTTTTGGTCGTATCATGTGCCAAAAAGACGGCCGAACCAGATTAGGTGCCAACTAATTACGGCCTCGTGTGAAAGCAGATAACGCAGCGATTGATCGGCTCCTGATCGGGTTCGGCCGTCTTTCGGGCACGTTGTTCGACAAGTTAGACGGTTGGTCGCACAAGCATATGGCCTGACAGGGCCCCCAGTGGTTATTGCCTGTTGGGTGGCACGATACAAAAACCGCGAGATCGCTTTTTACAGCCACTGACAAGTTGGCAGCAGCCATTTAGGCGTAGGAGTTAGCAATTCCGAAAAATGTGGTTCCACCAGGCCTAGGAGACAGGGGCATTCGGCTACAAGGGGAGGCTGTAGAGAAAGTGGACATCTTCGCAGACATCTAAGTGACCGGTATCTACGGCAAAAAATAAATTTCAAACTAATATGGTACGCCCTCGTATTTGGCAGGGCTGGACTTCGATTAGACATCTTAACCTGATTAATTATCACCCTTAAATTTATTAATTCATTGAGAAATTGGTTGCGTTGATCTTCAGGCACATTTTCTAAGAGATTTGTGAAACCTAGACATTTTCGTACTACTTCTTGCTCTCATACAGACACATTTTTATCTTTACGCTGTACCGCGCAAAAAAAAAAGCGACAACCAAATAATAATAAATTATAATCATATGATTTCTAAAACCTTATAATCACTCTTAATTACACAAGTATAACGCTGAAGTGTTTACAGTGGAATAGAACGGGGCTGCGTTTTAAAATCAATAAACGCGCCCAAAATTGTTAGGCAAGCAATCTTACTTATCAAATTCTCTAATTAAGGACACAAACAATTAAGCGAGATGAAAGTATTAAGTTGTCGAGATCTCCGACCGCCGAGAATGGAAAGCGCCAAGTTCAAGCGCCGCGCTGGCCAATCGCGGCGGTCGGCCATCCGCCGACTTTCGTCGAGTGTCCAACTTAGAGCCCCAGGTGTCGAAGCTGAGCTCTAAAGAAAGGGTAATGCAAACTTGTTGCATGCAAAACACGCATAAAACATGTCGTCCCGTGCGCAGAGCTGATCCTTCGGTCGCTCCGCACTTCAGATTCGAATCATGCACTCCAAGGTGCCCGCCATCGGGGACAGTAGCTTCTGGCCCGGGAAGCGGCTTCAAATCTTGGACCTCAGTCACAACAACATCGGCACCGTGAGAGACTCGGACTTCAGGGGTCTCTCGGAGCTGCGCTTGCTCAACCTGAGCCACAACCAGATATCGGGGGCTCCCTCGGCGCCGTTCCGGTTCCTGGCAAACCTCACCAGCCTCATCCTGACCAACAACAAGTTGGAAGCATTGGCGCCGCGGTTTTTCTACCTTCTGCCGAGGCTGCAGAGGTAAGACGATCATTCCTTGCGTGTTTGAGATTAGCGGTCCTATTCTCGTCACCGCGAGATCTAATTTGCCTCTCCCGATGCGAGCGAAAATAGCGTTCGTAGACGGTTCGTCTGCTAAAGCGAGCGAAAAATGTGGTTCGTTTTCTACAAAGCGTCATCTGAGGACGTTAAAAGAACAAGAAATCACTCTACGTCGACTAGTTACAGTCTTGAGAAAACTGTCGTCGCAGCGAAGTGAGATCAGACCCTATTTAGCGTTGGAAGCCATTTCAATCCGCGCTTCTTTTGGAAATCTCAGGCTCTTCTGCTGCTGTACAAAAGTTGGCATCGTCCGGTGGGGGAAGAAGTACCAAAGACCGCGAGGCCGCGAGATCTCTCTCCCATCAGAGGCTGCGGGATCTCGCTCACTATTCTCATATTGCTGAGTCGTTCTCTCCAAAATATTGGCCGATTTTGAACTCGCAGACAGATCAAAATGTATAGTTGATTGATTATGTGCAAGTTATGAAGGTACTTTCAATCAGCAGCCGAGAATGCTCTGGCTCCAACCTTGACCAAAATCGGATCCCCGAAAAAAGATATGTTAAACTCCGGCGATGATTGGATACCGCAAATAAAAAGACTGACGCTGACGCTTCTGCTCGTACGCGAAAAGTGCTATCCTTTTGCGAAAACATGCGAATGTAATGCACCCCGGTCATTATTTTCGCACTTTTTTACCAACGGCAATGATGACTATCCATTACGCGCACATATGTTCTCTGCTTGCGCACAAAAGTCGGCAAGAACCGTAGAAAAGTTTCAGGCTGTTAATACTCCCTATTGTTAACAGCCTACTTGAATCATGACCGTAGAGCCTGTTGACTATTGAACGTCAAGGATTGAAGGTAGGAAAAATATTTATTATTTACATGATGTGCGAAAAGCGTTTGGTGTTGTTCCGAGTCGTCACTCCTTCTTCTCCTCAATCGCTCCCCTTTTTGTTTCGCGCGAGCGTTTTCTACGTCGTCGTTTTCTTTATAGAAAGTGTCACGTTCACTAGGCTTTGTTGGCCGCGCAACATTAATGAAGCTTCGTAAAAGAATCCGCAGTCCGCAAAATACGACCCCCCCCCCCCCCCCCCTTCTCCCGCTCTTCATTCACAGGTTGCTAATCCATTATCAAGCACTAGCGTTATGTAACTTGATATTTTCTTTTCTACACTTGTATGCACAGATGGTTCGCAGCGCATGATCCTATTATTTCTTTCCGGGCGTAGCAGACCTGCTTGATTCGTCCAGTCTGCCACAAATGTCCGGTCGTTTTGTATTCCTCGGCGGGAACTACGTCACCTTCCTAAATTTTACTGTTCTATTCTGGGCCGTCTCGTGCGTTAATCGCAGGTAGATAAAATGCTTTCTTTCCGCCCCCTTTTCCAAAAGTGGTCCAGCAGTCGCTCAGTGTGTTGCCAGCGCTGAGCGACAACGTTTCTCGTAGATTCCTGAAGTTTCTCGATACCTGTATTTGCAGGATCGGTCAGCTGCCACTCCAACAGAAATTGTGGAGAGATGATCGCTTTAAACCTTTTAGAGGATTCATCCACTTTCGCTCTTCCGTTTTCTTTTGTTGTCGGTGTTCTTCGTTTGTATTAGTGTAGTTCTGAAGTTCTTAGCAAGGCTCATAATCCCAGTGGTAACTCGGAGCATTTGCCCTAGTTTACTGGATTGTTCCGGCTTTATGGAAGACGTTCCTTTTTTCCAGTTCCTGGAGCACGTGACGTTTTCGTTTCCGTTTTTTATCTTTCGTCACTTCTGTTAGAAAGGTTTCATTTGGGAATCCTGACAGAACTTTATCTGCGTGTCCAGTATCAACATCATTGTGCGGGGCGTTTTGTTTTTCTCTCGAGTAAGTTTTGTTCCGTGTCAGTTTCTGCTTAAGTCCCTCGAGTCGTTTATCTCCTATTTTTAATGCGAAAGCATTAACTGTCCCATGGAGTGAGCCGACGTCATCAGCTTTGAAGCCGCGTGAAAAGCCTAGCCAAACGGCACCTAGTTTACCCAGCTGCCAATGAAGCGCAGTGAAGCCGAAATCAGATGGATAGGTCCCATTGGCTGGCGCGCGTCATAGTTTCAAGGAACGAGGCTCCCATTGGCCGCTACGCGTCAGTTTCAACGACCGCCACCCCATGGCGCTGCGTGTCCGCGATGCCAGCGCGCCGGTAAAACGAAGTGTCTGGCCGCCGAGCGAGGCAAGCGGCTCCACTGCCGAGGTCAGCGCGGCGAGGCGCGCGCTCGGCCGTCCACGGAAGTGCGCCGGAGACGAACTGAAGGAGCGGAAGAACGGCATGCATGCTTTCGTATTCACAACTCATAAGAAGTGCTTAGGTGTACCTCGAGCCCTTTAGGCGTTCCTTCACGTTTTTTTACGTTCATTTGTGGCGGCAACCACACTTCATACAGTTCATATATACTTGCGGTGTGTCGTTTTATGTCCTTCCAGTTCGCTTTGTTCTTGAGCAGAGCTGCGGGGTTTGTCCACTGTCCCGAAACTTTCTAAGTCCAATTAAGCTACGTAAGGTCGCGTCATATTCTGCCAATATTTAACACAAGTGAACTCTGAAGCGACATTGATCGTTGCAAGGCCCATATAAATTTGGTGTCAAAGGTCACAAGCTTACAGTTGTCTTCACAGCGTAGCCTCTGGTTACTCATATTTCCAAAGCTGGTCAGAACCAATGCGCAAGCCATATTCCTCATGGCTGTAATAATTTCACAACTTGCCTTGAGCTTACCTACTAGCCTTCGTTGTTGCGACAGTGAAGTAGAACTTCAAATGTGTTCAAGCGCAGTCTGGTCCCTCCTAACACCTTCAGACACAGCTTGCAAGATATCTCTTTTCAAATGAACGTTCACTGGCTTCCGCCATCCAAGATAGCATGTACGTAGACAGTCGCGATGAGTCCCGAGGATCAAGCACGTTGAGTAAATACTCCTGCATTACTCCTGCAAGCTCTGCAACTCACCCTCTGAAAATCTCTGTGTTGTTGGGGAGCACCCATTGCGAGGTGTTGGTCTGAAGGGAAGCGCAGGAGTAAGCGAAGAATCTGAAGTTACACCAGCTCTTCTACTCGTAATGTTGGCAAGGATAGATGCGCAGCCACGTCTCCTCTACCTTGGAAGGCTGTTCTTTTTTTTGTGGTCAGCGTGTCTGTAGAAATCCACCATAATCTCAGACGGAAGAGACTTGATAATAATGTTTGTCAGTATTGCCAAGTAGCAGTTTTGCCTTTCACCAAGTCCACGAAGAGCATGGATTTTGGTTTGTACGTAATTGTGAAGTGTTCTCACCACTTTGGTACCGTTAGAGGAGTTCACGCTTGGAAGACCTCGAAGCTTTGTGAGATGTTCCTGCTGTATCTGTTTTGAGTTTCTAAATTTTCGCGTCAAAATTTCAATTGCCTCATTGTAGCACGCGTTCGTGACTTGGAGACTATCGATGGAAGCCCCAGCAGGTAAACTAACAAGCGTCCTCAAGTGCTGCAACTTCTCGCAGTTCCATAGGTCTTCGTTCTCGTGAAAGGGCACCTTTAAATTGCATGCCAAAATGACTGCCACTTAGAGAGCAGAACCCTGAAGGTCTGCAAATGCAACTTAGGTAGCTTTACACCGCTCCGTCTTCGTTCATTTCATTCTTCGTTACGGGATGTGAAAGTCGATGTTGATGGTCGCGGTTGTTCGCAAATACGCAGTTGCACTGTTCTACATTGGAGTACGCTTAAGACATGAGTCGTTTGTTCCTTGTACTCGATAAATAACCGACAGATATTCCTCCGCGATAGGATATTCTCCGCGATAGGATGTTCCAACTCGGCAGTGACCATTCTAAGTTCCTCATTATTTGCTTCTAGGCTTCTCGCAATGAATTATATTACAGTTTTATCCGTCGTTTCGAGAATAGCTATGGCCCCTTTGGCAATTCGGATGATCTGTGCTTTGCGAGTAGTACTCTTCTTTCTTGCTCTTTCGATGTTAGAAATAATTAAAGGGTTGGTAAGCTTATTATTGAGGTATTAAAGCGCAAAACAACAAGAAAGGAAATATATTTATTTCAGTATGTACCACCAACCAGGGTGTTGGAACGAAATGTTTTTCGTTCCGTTTTCATTTTCGTTCCATACAAAAAAGTTCCGTTCCGTTTCCGCTCCGGAACGAAAAAAATAATGCTCCGTAACGGTTCGTAACGGTTTCTTTCTATGAAAAAAAAAAAACAAATCGCAGCAAAAATTAAAAGGTACGTAACGTTTATTTTTACACCAAAATAGATAATTCAGGCGCTCTAGAGGAATCCGCGGAAACGACATTGCTTCTGAGATCATGTTCATTGCCTTGAGAATGAGATCATGATTAAGGCACCGACCATGATCTCAGAAGCAGCACGTCATCAAGTGTGCTCGGTGAAAGGCAAGACCTCTGGTCCGATAAAATAAATTTCAGCGCCGAGAAGGCCCTGAAGGCTCATGGGGATCAAGAAGTACACTTTTGCAACAGAGTCTCAGACTGCCGTAACCGTAGAAAAACAAAAGATGGACTTCTACAACGCCGGGTCACAAACTTCCCGCGCTTGCCGTGATCTGTTGTCTGTCTGTGTCGTCCGAAGAAAGCATGGAGGGAGAGGGCGCAAAAGCCAAGGAGAGCATTGCGAGCGTGTGGAGGCGTCGCGCCACCGCGCTCTCATTGGTGGGAAGCAATGGCGCCTTGCGTCATGTTTTTTGTTTCTCGTTGTATTTTTTGTCTTTGTTTTTGCTATGCTTGTTCGCCCGGAGTTTAGACGCGGGGGCGATGGCTTGCTTGTCTTCTCTTTAATTATGGTACAAACCAACGGCTGTCTCTTCGCTGCGTGAAACGAATTACTGAAATACCTGATATTTTCCCTTGAACCGAAAACCGATAAGAAATTTTTTCGGTTTCACTCCGGAACAAAATAATAAATAACGTTTCGATTACGTTTCCGTTCCGTCAAAA